CGTTAGGTACTCCACCTCCCCAGGAGGCGACAGGTTGACAGGAGAATTCTCCTGTCCATAGACTCTGACTCAGTGAGTGCTCTGGGGCTGGAGCACCCACGTAAAAAAAACAGTGGGTGTCTCTGTCAGTGCCTCCTCCAGCCCCTTAACCCCCAGCACCTCCTGCCCACCGGCGGCCCCATCAATCAGATCCTCCCCCTCCCTCCCAGCGCTTCCCGCCCACCGTGATCAGCTGTTCCACCGTCTGCAGGAGGTGCTGGGGGGGGAGGAGGTGGAGTGAGGGTGGGGTGCACTGGGGGTGTGTGGAATGGGGCAGGAAGTGGGTTTGGGGGATGGGTGGAGTGGGGATGGAGCCTGGGGCAGAGTGGAGGTCGAGCACCCTCCGGCAACTAAAAAAGACGGTGCCTATGCTCCCGTCGACTTAACACCATCCACATCGGGGTGAGGTCAGTTTACCTGTGTTGCTTGGGGATGTGTGGATTTTTCACACCCCTGAGCGATGTAGTAATATCGACCTCATTTCCCAGGGTAGATCATTTCCCAGTGTAGTGTCCATCTAGACAAGCCATAAGTGGCTCTGTGCCTCGGTTCCTCATCTGTGAAATGGGGGTATAGTCGTTTTGCCTTGTCTGTCTTTTCTCTTCAGATTATTAGCGCTTTGGGACTGTTTCCTGCTGTGCATTTGTTCAGTGAATAGCACAACGGGTTCCTGATTTTAGTTAGGGCCTCTATTGCCACTGCTAATAATTGTTCATAGGCTGGAAACAGACTAGAGCTACTAAGCGCAGATCAGTATTAAAGGCTTAGAAATATTTTGGTTCTGACCCATTTCTGGGGTGTTTGGCTCCAGGGCTTGGGTTCCGACCCCTCTCGAATGCAGGCCGTCGCTCTTCGTCCATTTCTTATGTCTTTAGCAGCACAAAATTGGAGACGATGCTTTAAAAGGGACAGAACCCCAAATGCTGCTTTCTAGCTGCCTCGGGGAGAGCCGTGCTGAGCTTGGGAAGTTTACAGAAGCTTTTATGATTCCACCAGGCTTGTGGCGGGATTTCCCTTCTGCTCTTTTCATAGCCAGGCTCTTATGCAAACCAGGAGGCTTGTATGAGATTTATTGCTCTTATACTTGAATTATTGCAGATTTTTTGGAGCGCTGCAATAATGTCTCCCGCATGGGGAACAAAAGGCTGAACTACAAACACCTGCCACTGCTGCTGTTGCTCTGTTATCATCCAGAGTCTCTCTCTGCTCAAAACACCTGAGGCTCTGCAGATACTGAAAGGTTGAACGAAGCTGCCTGCTGAAGAGAACAGAAAGTTCCTGCTGGAAACATCTGAGATGCTCTGCTGTAAGGCTTCCTGCTTCTAAGAAGTGTTGGAGCAGAAATATCAGCACCTGGGAAGGTGGAGCTCCTTTTATTGGCACAGTTGTGTTCCTGAAGTTTGCTGTTAGCTGCTGCTTGTGGGGAGGAGAACATCTGATGCTTGAGAAGCGTAGCAGGAATGGTTCTTCCTTCCGGCTTCCTCTGTCTAGAAATACCATAATAATTTGTTTAAAAAGGAGTAGGACATCCCTGGGACTGTTGAGCTAGCTACATACCACCTGGGAGAGGTTAACTTCTCACCTGGAGTCAGTAAGGGCCAGCTCCTGTTGGTCCCACACTCCAGTGGGTGTTTTGCCTGAATAAATCCTGCAGGAGCTGAGCCCAAGTCAATGTGACTCCTTCTGAGATCACCTCGTCCATGCTCACACCAGAGGGGCCTTGGCGTTATACTTAGCAAATGGCCAGTTGTGGGTGAAGATGCTGCAGGTCAGAAACACCAGTGGAATTCTGCTTCCCTACACCCAGGTGGTATTTATTTGTGTTCCACTAGTGTGTAGGGTCCCCAGAACGTGAGGCACTGTGCAGACACAGAGTAGGAGACAGACCCTGCCTCAAATTGTTAACAATTGAATAGATGGGAGGCAAAGGGAGGGAAAAAGAAATATTATTATTTTATTAAAGCTGGTTGAAAAATGAAGGGTTTTTTTTTCCCATGGAAAATTTACTTTTAGTTGAAACAACAAACACCAAAATATTATGAAAAGTCAAAATGTTCTGCACAGACTCTTTCTGTGGAAAACTTAGTTGAATCGACAACGTAGCCCTAATTCTGATTTCCATTTTACAAAATGGGAAACCGAGGCACAGAGAGATGAAATGATTCACCTAGGGTCACACAGGAAGCAGAGTCAGGAACCAAACCCATCTTCAGAGTCTTCAACCAAAGCCATCCTTCCAGCTTCATCCTGGTGCTGGTGACCTCAGTGGGTGGATTTTCCTCCATGATCTTGATGACCAATGTGGATGAGCTGTCATTAGCCAGGTCTTGTGTAACAATATGGACTCTTCTCTAGTATCACTTTTCTGTCATTAGCTGTAGTTCTGTGGGTTTGGAGTAGAGCCTGAATACACCAGCTCACTCCTTGCTCCTGGGTGTGGATCATCTGATAGGCGCACAGATTGATGCACCTGCCTGAATTAGCCACAGAATTTGGCCCATAATTCCTCTTAATAGTCCTGAATCATGGCACTCGCTTACACAAGCAAAGTGCCATTAATCTCCCCACGCAGAGCCTATCCCATCTGTACCATTTTAGTTCTTGTTGCTGTTTTGAGGACGGGGGGTTTCAAAAAGAGCCTAATGGAGTTAGGCCCTCAATTCCCAGTGAGATTTAGGGATCCAGCTCTCAAGGCTATTTAGAAAATCTGAGCCTAACCAAAACGGTGCTGTCAAACAGCCAAAGGAATGTGGGCTCATTATAATCAGTTGTCCAGCAAGATATACTGTAGCTCTAGATACACAACAGAGAATTGGATCAGAACCTTACAGCCCACCTCTAATGCATGCCTGAGAACCACCCTCACTTCTCCAGCCAGAGCTCTGAACGGTTGGCTCAGGCAGTCTGTCAGTAACTAAGTGTCAAGTGCAAAGTTAAAATTGCATAACTAGTAAACATGGGAAACTTGCTTCCCACATGCAACCTTTCTGTTTTCATAGTTCATTGAACAAGCTAATAAACAGAAAGATCTGGATTAAAGAGGTTTCTTTGGTAAATGAAGGGGTTTTATTTCCACCGTGCTCTGTGCTTTCCACACTGCAGTGATAAAACATCTCTCTGCACTAGCCAACCTATTCCCTATTTCCTAGCCCACACCACTCAGTCTCCTACCCGTTTTGGAGATGAATGACTTCTGGTTTATAGAGTGACCTCGTTCAGCCCGCTGGAGGGCAAAGGAGTCACTGGGATGTTATCCCTCTCTTGGGCCAGAAATGCACCTGTACGGCTTTGTACTAGCGTGTGCTGAAATAACTTTTTGTTATTTGCCAAGCTACTGAGGCAGCGGTCTTTTTGCAGCCTCTCTCAGCGCTCCCAGAGCACTTTATAATTTCCACTGCTGAGCAGACTTGGAGAAACAGCCAAATGCGCTCTGCCCCTGTTTTCATCGCCAGTGGCTGAGGATGGTCACACGATACGTTTTATTTAAAAAGCAAGGGAAGCTGTAACTCGTGGGCTGCACATCACCAACACTTAAAGAGCTGGCGACAAATGACTAAGAACCCAAACCTGCACCCAGGCAAGTGGAGCTCATAGTTAACGACTGGCCCAGTTTGGATGTGGATTTGCTCCAGGTGGGGGGTGAGTCGAGGCTCCAGTTCAGGCCAGCAGCTCCAATTTTGAACAAACTATAATCCCTAGATTTTTTTTTGGTTACACCGGGTATATTCAGTGCGTCTCCCATTTGCGTGATCTTTGGGTCCAAATCTAGCCAGGGTTCTGCTGGGGGAATCCTGGCCTGTGGAGCAGCAGAGCTACTCTGACGGCTGCTGGCCCCTGCCCCACACTGCTGTGAGTGTGTGTGTGAATGGGGAATGTAAGTGGATCTGTGCTGTCATGGAGCCACCAGCTCTGCACCTCTCCCGGCCCACCCTCAAAACCCTTTTGCATATTAAAGAAAAAGCTGTCCCCATGGAGCCTTATAGCGCCACAAGGTGCAGATCTTCCTGTTCCCACAACTCCAGCCACTCTGTGCGCTTCTTCCGCTGCCTAGCAAGCCTTCCGCTCCCATAGAGAGTGGGTGACTAGGGTTTGACCCTTAAAAAGAGAATAGGGTGAATACACCCACTGGCCGGGGTCCTTGCTCAATTACACCTCTGTCCTTACTGCCCTAAGTTCCCATTCAAGTCAGTGGGCAGTTGCCTAATGAATAAAATGAAGGCCCTTATCCTGCAATCAGATCCACCTGGGTCAGTTTGGCTGAGGTTCAATCCTCTTGCATCTGAAAAAATGAGGTTCTTACCCACGAAAGCTTATGCTCCCAATACTTCTGTTAGTCTTAAAGGTGTTGCTTTTTACAATCCTCAGTTTGTTTCTAATCTTGAGGTTCTTGTGTGCTAGCCTAATACTGCAACACTTGGGTTGTTGCAGGGAAATGTTTGTTTCCCCTTAAATATTTATTTATCTATCTCCCTCCCGGTAGCATTTCTTGGACAATCTTTTTGTAAAAGATTGACTGTGTTCCCATTTCCCTCTCCAAAAATATTCTAATTGGGACTGAAATTGACCCGCCCCGCCCCATTAGTGTTTGCAAAACACTTGGAAGAGGAAAAGCGCTAAGAGTGAAATGTTTATAGCCTTTAAATCCTACATATTCTTGGGGGAAGGGAGGATAGATTCTTAGCCTCCCTGAAGCTTTTAGCAACCTGTTGAATGAATAAATAGTCCTTTATTTTTATTTTTGTTAAATAGCACTCTTCTGGGTCACCCAGCCTTGCAAAGCTACTGGCAGGGCGTGCAAGCTACAGTGCCCCCTCCTCTTCTCCACATTCACACAGAAATACAGAGCCCACCACCAGCCTTTTTATTTTTGTCATGCTCTGGTGCTCGTTTGTTAACCCTGCACCCAGAGCTGGGCGCTTCAGCAAGGAGTGACCAATCTGTTTCCCTCAAAGCTTCCAGCATGCTGCTGCATGGAGAAACAGAAAGGGGTGTGTGTGTGCTGGGTTGTTGGCAGAGGTTCAGGCGTCTCTAGTGGACACCTAAAGTGGGACTTGAGTGTGTGTGTGTGTGTGTGTATGTGTGCAAGCAAGCAACTCACATAGTCTCTAACATTCACACAAGATGGCGATGGAGTGGAGGGAGACTCAGCTCCCCTCTTAAATGTTCTTCTGCTGGACATTGAAAGAGCCCTGCTTTCCCCCCCCTGGAGCTGTTAAGGGTTTACATGGCGCTGGAGGACTTGCTTTGTCTCTGTTTTTTCTCTTTGACCTTCTGTGTCCTGGCTGTGGAAGGTAATCAATGCTGCTGGGTTCTCTTTTGTGTGGTGGGTGAAGGGGGGGATCAAGGGGTGTGTGATGGGGGGGGGACTGTATTTGGGGGCTAGCCCCTTGCCCTCCTCCTCTGAGCCAGCAACCCCAGGGGGCTAGTGCAGAGCTGGGCAAGGCTCCGTCTCCCACTCCACTCCCTTCCTTCCCCGCTTGGCACTAGGAGCGTGCACCTCACCCCTGACAATAAAATCACCTCGCTGCCCGGGGGGGAGACTTGCAACTCCCGGTGGGCTGCTGCTGGTGCACGAACCGGCGCGGCGCGGCTGCCGGAGCCCTGCCAGGGTCATTAGCCGGGTTGTGATCCGCAGCGAGGATTTATTTGTTCGCGGCTGAGCGAGCCCGGCACCCGCCGGCCACTGCGGGGACGGCCAGGCAGCCGCCCCCGAGCCTGGTGCCCGGGCGGCCCGGCCCCTGCGCCCGCCAGCGGGGCCAGAGAGCGCGGCGGGGCGTGGGGGAAAACAACCCGCCGGGCTCGCCAGGCTCGCTGCCCAGTGCCAAGCGGGGCTCGCGGCGGGGCTGGAGCGTGGTGCAGACGCGGGGCCGGGACACACACACACAAACACAGACACACACACACACAAACACACAATCTGTTGCAAAAAGTTGGCGGGGCCGGGCTGGGATTTGAAGGGGGCGCCCGGCCCGGCAGATCCCGAGTTAATTTCACTGCACACGGGGGGGGGGGTAATTTACCCCCCCGGCTTACAGCTGAGCGGGGCGGGCGAGCTCGGAGCAGTGTCCGCAGCCCGGGCTCCGGGAGCGGCCGCTCGGGGCCATGTGCTACCCGGGCGGGGCGGCTCCCTCCGGAGCGGGGGCGCTGCCTCCCGGCGTGTCGGGGCGAGGGCAGAGGGGGAGCCCAGGCGGGATGTCCGGGGGAGGGGGGTTTCTTTAGGGGATGGGCTCCTGGCAGCAGCCCCTGCCCCCCCCCCCGGGAGACGAGGCCTTTGCCCCGGGGCGCTGCTGGCCCCCCGGTTTCTCTCCTGGAGCTTGGGGGGTGTTGCCTCCGCCACGTGCCTTTGCTGCCTGTCCCAGCCATTGCAAGGGGAAGAGCAGCAGCTGCACCCTGGGGTGGGAGCTGCCCCCTTGGCTAGCGCTGGGGCCTGGGGAAGGATGTGGGTGGGTGGGTGGGTGGGAACCTCTCTGTCTATGGGCCTGGGCGGTGGGGGGAAGCCACGTGCCCCAAAGCCAGGGAGAGCAGTCAACCCCCCCCCCCAAGTCTGTGCCCACCCCTGTCCTTGCCCACCCTTCGGGCTTGAGCGGGGCTCCCATCCTGAGCGGCTTTCAGGGGTCCAGGGCTACCACTGGGCTCCTATGCACAAGGGGGGCCCTGGCCTCTCCTCTCTGGATTTGGGGGGGTAATTCACAGGGGCCATTCTCCTCAGGCAGGCTCAGCGCTGAGGGGAGTGGGGAAGGGAGGGCATGGGTGGCAGGGAAGGTGAAGGCGGCAGGAGAGGTGTAGGGGTGAGACAGAGGATGAGGGAGGCGATGGAGAGCAGTGGTCAGGCTGCTCTGAGATTAGGTTGTTCCTTGGCTCCATAGCACGAGATCACTTTCTATGGGCGGAGGAGAACTTGCTGGTTGGATCTTAGCCTGTTGAGAACTCAAATCCGCATTTCTGATGCAGCCACCAGCAGACTCCAAAGGTCTGGGCCTGAAATGCCAGCTCCTGGCTAGCAGGGTCACAGTGGATGCTCCCGTTGGGCTCTGCAAAGCCTTTGTGTTGTGCATGCAAAACATCCAGGTGTAATTTTCAAGCAGGGGAAACTCTGCATAAAGCTTTGTGTGGCTAATGGAAATAGCCTCCCTTCTTCAAATGGGAACCTCTTGGTGAGCATGAAATCTTGCTCCGAATATCTTCCAGTCAGGCCCTGGTGCCTCTTTATACCTTTATAAAAGAAAAAAAAGCGCTATGACTCTACTTTTCCCTTCACCCATACCAATGCAGTTTTCTTAGTTCTACCATATTAGCAGATATTTAGTTGATCAATCAAGTAATCCAATAATAAACATACCAGTCACTCCCCTGTTTGTGTGGATCTAAATCCTTGACTCTCTGTGTTTAACCGTAGAAGCTTTCACCAAGGTTTGTTCACGTTGTGGACCTTGGGATCCATTGCTTCTTCCAGCATGTACACTTGCCCATTTAAGCATTTAACTGTAACTCTGAAAAAGATTAGAAAGTCGTGGTTTGATACAACTGCACTATTGCAACATCATGTGCATTAAATGTCCAGTAGAGTTAGGGTTTTTTGATTTAAGATAAACACACAAAACAAAGATTTAAACCAGAAGTGTTATGCCTGTTTCACTGCATATATTTATTCAGTCCTCTGATGGATTCGAGTTCAGCCGAGTATAAGTTTTCATTTATGAAAGTATCTAGCCCTTATATTAAAAAGGGTTATCTTTGCAACTTTGAGTGGATGGATGCAGGGATGTATTAACCCTGAGAGATGTGAACCGCTCCTGTTGACTAAACTGGGAGTTGACTCTGAATCCTACTGATGCTATTTTAAGGGCCAGATTATCGCATAATATAGGTGCAGAATTGCATGCTCACAGAATTACTGTTGCTGCGTGTGTAAATGAACAATGGTACAGGGAAGTGGCCCATTGTCATCTGAGGGGAGCATCTCTTTAGATGGTCAGGAGCATGTGGCCTTAACTTTTAGCCCCAAATAGTGCTCTTGCTACAAGAGTGTAGTTTTGTTTCAAAATTAACTTGTCAGATTTTGGGGGCAGGAACCATGGTTCCTTGTGTGTTTGGCAGGAAAGGTGCAGGCAGCAGGAGAAGTATAAAGGTGAGGCAGAGGATGAGGGAGGTAATGGAGAGCAGTGTTCAGGCTGCCAGAAGCGGGGAATGGGTGACAGGGGATGGATCACTTGATGATTACCTGTTTTGTTCATTCCCTCTGAAGCACTGGGATTGGCCACTGTCGGAAGACAGGATACTGGGCTAGATGGACCTTTGGTCTGACCAGTTTGGCCGTTCTTATGTTGAACAAACAGCAGAGTGGGTGGAGCCTTTGGGTACCACTGCAATACTTACTATAATCAATAATAATGATTTTAAAGGGTTGAAACTTTAGTTTTCAAACAAGATTCAAGAAGAAATCTGGAATTCCTTCTCTAGGATTTGTAATGGTGGCTTGCCCAGTTTTTGAAATCTGTGTAAAGAGAATAGTCAAAATTTGTTTTTTAAGTATTGGCTGTTGGTTGTTGTGCCTGGAAACAAAATTACCTCTGCTGTACTATTGCTACTTGCTGGTTTACGCCAGTGCAGGAATATACAGCACAATGTGGCGGAAGGTTCAGAAGTGAAGTTGGTGGTTTTGGTGGTGGGGGGGGAGGTGTGTGTGGTCAACAAATGGGCTTTACTGTGAAAACAAAAGTCTTGAATTGCTTTAATCTCAAATTTATTCTCTGAAAGGTTGAAATGCTTTTTAAAAGTTGTGAATTTGACCCCGTGGCCACTTGTTTCAATCCAAAATTCAAGCATTGGGGGTATGAGACACTGACGAAGAAACTGGAATGGGAAAATCCTCCCCCATGGACTTTAATGAAGCTACGCTGAGGATTGGGCCCGGCATTTTGCAAAACCTTCTGCTGTCTAATTTGATACAGTTTTCCCTGAAGAGCCAGGAAGGATTTTTTTTGAAAGACTCTTGCTTGGCCCTGCCAAAGGGGTTTGTATTGCTTTCTTCGCATGGGGCTCTCTAAAGGGATACAGCTTGCATTTGGGCAGCGGGAGGGAGAGGGCTAGCTTTCCAATTGAATGATCAGATGAAATCCATCTAGATTTATGTAATTGGTGTCTGGTGTAAAATCTCCTTTGGGGTTTCTGAACTGTTTTTCTTCCTCTATTACCTAACTTTCGCTCTGTTTTGTTCTTGTCGCATTCTTTATGGCTCCACAGCCCTGCGGCGTGCTGAATACGCATAGTGCCTTTGCCTAGAACAGTCAGTCATGCTATTGTTCCAGAGGTCACATGTCTTGTCTTTTGCCATGGTAGCCTGTTCATTGCAGGCCATCAGCTGCATGCAGATTCATCTGCCCTGATGACTATACTAGTCACCTGATTGCCGTCTTTTTTGTGGGGTGGGCGAATGTTGGTTTGCACGGTGAGGTGAGGGGAGCTGTACTTCCTAGAGACTCAGTTTTCCATTGTGTTTGATACATCCTTGTAGCATCTGCAGTGCCCTTGTGACAGGCCATGTACTGATGCACACAATAATCTGATTTTAAACATGGCTCATTTCCAGGTGCAGGTCTTGAGTTTGCTGCAGTCGTACTGTGGCTGTCGTGACAGACCGTCTTTCTGACAGATCAGTAGGTAACCTCCAATCTCAGGTCTCTAAAATAAAAATCTTTCTGGCATAATTTCTCTTTCTTTTCTGTTGCACCAGGGAGTGTGGAAATCGAATGTTTCGGGGTCTCTCCCTGCAGCGCCATACAGAGAGCCTTGCCTCACCATGGTTTTTAATTTTTTTATACCTTCTTATTCCACCACTATTAAGATACTCTGAAGCAATAAGAAAAAAAGTTAAACTCTTAAACAAACAAAAAACCCTTTCCCCATTTCTCCTATTTTTTGCAGTGAATTTTGATACCAGTTATTGGAAGTTTGGTCTAGTGGGTAGGGCACTGAACTGGGATTCGGGAATCCTGTATTCAGTTCCCAACTCAGCTTCTGCTGAGACCATGGGCCAGTCACTTAGTTTACCCTTGTATCCCAGTTGCCCATCTTAAAAAGAAATGGGGATAGTACCTCCTTTTTTCCCCCAGGGGATTGTTTGGATAGAATCCATTAATGATTGTGTGGCACTTAAATGCTACAGTGATGAAGAACACATAGGTACCCAGATGCCATGGAGATGGGCACACTAGAAAACCATGTAGACTGCTGGCTTGCCCTGAGTGTGTGTAAAAGTTTGACTGTGACCCCCTGGTACCATTGTCACTAT